GTTACTTTCCAGTTCTATTTGATTGTCGTGTTTCTGCTCTCTTCTATAGATTTGTTTTGGTTCTGTATTACTCTGATGTCTCTCCTTTGTGTTGTTAAACTATGCCTGCTAACGTGGATTCCTCTGGGAAGGAAATCCGACTTCCGAGCTCCAGTGACGACACTACTCTGCTATGATGGGCCCCATGCTCCTTGCCGGGGTGTCCTAATGGGGGGTGTGACTGGACTGTCCCTGTTTGGTTTCAGCTCCCTGTCTCGGCAGGTGGGCGGTCTCAAGCTGCCCAGTATCACAGGCTGCGGGCGGGTGATCAGTCGTCAGCGGGCGTTCTCCTACCGCCCAGTTACGCGGGCAGTGGGTGAACTGTCGCCAGCGGGCCTGTGGTTTCCAGCTGCCCAGTCGTGAGGGCCTTGCCTCTAGTCCCCTGGTTTCTCCTGCTAGTCTTGGTTTCTCCTGCTAGACCAGATTTCCCCTGAGTGATGGTTCTCGGCAGTTCAAACTGTACTCTGGGCCTGCTGTTTGTTGGGTGTGGAGGGTGACTATTGAGAACCCCGGCACTCTATTGTTTTGCTTCCGTTGTGGGGGATAGAACTGTAAAGCTTCCTTCCCCCTCTGAAATCCTGTACTCAGCCCAGGGGTCAGTGCGGGCTTGGCTGGCGGGATTCCACAGAATCACAGCCACTTTTCTCCCTGCTTGCTAATTAATCGCTTCTCTTCGGTGCCACGCCTTCTGTAGCCTCGGGTCAGGCCGCGCAAATCAGTCAGCCAAGCTCTCAGGGGTCACACAGTTGGCTATTGGAATCCCCGGCACTCTATCGTTTTGATTTTTCCTGCTTAACCCTCCCCCAGCGCTGGCTAGACAGGTTTCATTTTGGCTGCTGATGGGATCGGGGGTTGAAGGTCAGGTGTCTCTAGTTTTCCCCTAGTCCTTATGCAGGCTCACTCTGATACTCCCTCCCCCGGAAAGCCTAGGAGAGATTGTATGCGAATTCCCCGATGTATAGGGGATGGGCTGAGTGACACACACCTGTTTTGTTGTTGCAATCTGTTGGAGAGTGGCGTGGATACTTCAGCTTTCCAAGATGGTGGCCACTGATTGCCTTTGTCCATTTTTATATTTTTTATTTAGAGACAGAGTCTTGATGAGTTGCTTAGGGCCTCACTAAGTTGCTGAGGCTAGCTTTGAATTCATGATCCTCCTGCCTTAGTCTCCCGAGCCTCTGGGATTATGGGCGTGTGCCACTGTGCACAGCCTACAATTCATTTTTAAATTATGACTTCAGCCCTTGGGTAATATGAAGGAGAGATGACTGGCAGCTGCCAAAGGTTCTTTCCAAATACATGTTGAGAACATAAAATATACACATGCTGCACGGTGCATGTGCAGCTGACCCAACTCCCTACCCTCAAAATGGGTCATGGGTTTCTCAGGGCAGCTGGACTGGATGTTCATTTGCTTCTTTGAATTTTCTTGTCCTTTCTCACTTAGGATTTTTAATGCCTAGAGTCAAAATGGGGTTCTTGAATTACGGTTGAAAAGCTAAGTGGATAATGTAGTGATCTGTTGATGGTCATGGCTTCCTCAGTGGAAGTCAGTGAGCCCAGTTTAACCATGAAATACAGATGGCCAAAAATAGGATGCAACACTGAAAACTTAGAGGTAAAATATAGTCTCCAAATTAGATTAGAAGGTCTTATGAATGCTGGTGGGTAACAAGGCTCTATAAAGCTGTGTGGGTTTTACTTTATGTGGCTATTTATTTCTTATTTTTGTTCTCTAACAAAGCTTCTGGGGAAAAATACATAGAGAGAAGTCGTTTTAACTATTATGAAAGCTGTGCTTTTATATTTGTTTTAAACATTATTTTTCACTTACAATAATACCTTTCATTTCTAATCTTTGTGGGGGTATTACTAGTTATAAGGTTAATTCATTTCTAACTTTGTAAAAGAAGTCTTAGCATTGATAAATTTGGTGTGACACAACTTTTCTTTGTGCTGTTTGAAAAGGCGACTCCTGCAGATGGGCGTTTATAATTGCCAGCTTTTTAACAATCTGGGGCTGTGCTGCTTCTATGCCCAGCAGTATGATATGACTCTGACCTCATTTGAACGTGCCCTTTCTTTGGCTGAAAATGAAGAAGAGACAGCTGACGTCTGGTACAACTTGGGACATATAGCTGTGGTAGGTTGTCTTTTGATACAATTTCTGTAATAAAAAGTGTAGGCATGAGTTAGTTTGAAGAAATTTTCAGGTGTTTATTATAAATCTAAGTGTGATGATGGTCTCATGTAGAATTTGAGAGATTTCTGGGAGTCACTGTAGCTCATTTTCCACTTACACAGAATTTACATGTGACCCCTCTGATCAGTGTGTATTGTTTTTTCTATGTCTTGGGGAAGATTTATAGAGGAAGGAAGGGAGAAGGTGGCAAGAGGAAGCATGTGTACTCAGACATGTGAACGTGTGCTTCTCTTTCCAGGGAATAGGTGATACGAATTTGGCCCATCAGTGCTTCAGGCTAGCTCTGGTCAACAACAACAACCATGCTGAGGCCTACAACAACCTGGCTGTGCTGGAGATGCGGAAGGGCCATGTTGAACAGGTCAGGGAGCGACAGTCAGTCTGCTTTCTTCACAGAACAGCCATCATTTGTGGCTATTGTTATGTAATTTTAAAATGAACTCTAGAGTCTAGTAGGCCTGGATTTGAATTTCAGCTCTCTCATGTATTAGCTGTGTGACCCTGGGCAAGTTACTTCCTTTCTGAGTCCAAAATAGAACATTTCATTTTATTAGGACAACATGTCCCTTCATGGTCTTCCCTGTGTTAGTGAACTGTTCCACGATTCACCACCCTGACCCACCGTCTAGCTGTTCCTGCCCGAATCCTGGGAGCCAACCTTGACGCCTCTTTTCTTCCTTGTGCCCCCTCACACCCACATCATATTCAGCAGGTCCTGTCAGTCCTGCCTAAAAGTCCCATCCTGAACCTGGCTTCTGTTCCCCACCCTGCTGCCATCTCTTGCCAGGACAACTACAAGAGCCTCCTGGCTGGTCTTTTCCCCCACTTACATCAGCAAGTAAATGTACCCTATGATTCATCCTCGTCAGAACAGCCCACATGATTTTTTATTAAACAATATTATTTTATTACTACTTTTTTGCATAAGATTCTCCAGTTATTTCTCCTGAATTTGGAAAAAAAAAATCTGGCTTGCTAATCTGAACCTGTGAGACTCCACATAAACTGGCCTCTGCCTTTTCTCAGACCATGTCCTTGGCCTCTCCTTTTCCACTAACTTCCAGGCATGTTGGCTACCTCGATGTTCTGCAGATATGCAATGCTGTTTTAGGGCCTCTGGAATGTTCTTCCCTTAGGTCTTACAGTGACATTTCTTTTTGTCACTCAGGTCTTAAATGCCACCTCCTTAGAAAGGCCATCTCAAACACCATCGAAAGGAACCCTCGGGGGCTAGAATATTTCCTACTTTTCATTTTTTACTTCACAGTGCTTCTCATTGCACCAGATACTGTCCCTCTTTACATGTAGAATGTAGACTGCATGAAAGAGGAACCCTACCTGACGAGTCACTGGTGTGTTCTCAGCATTAGGAAATGCCCAGCCCCTGTTGTGTGCTTAGTCAGTGTTTGTGAAACAAATGGATGATCTTTAAAAGTAAAGTAATAATAATGCCTACCCAAAGGTGTTTCTGTGATGATTCGATCATTTATGTAAAGCACTTGGCACAGTGGTTGGTGGATTTGAGCACGTGATCTGTGCTTAATCAGTTGAACTATTATTTACATATATAAAAAAGTTTACAATGCAAAATACACTCCTACAATATTCATGGTTATTAAGGGTAAATCTTACTCCGCCACTTCAGAGAGGAGGACATAGAGATTTGAGTGTAAGTAACTTTACTCAGGTCACAGACATGATGAGCTGTAAACATGGGACACAAACCTGCTCTTCAGAGCACAATGACAAAAATACCAAGGACTGAAGCATTATTTCATAAATGCTCCCAAAATAAACAAGATGGATTTGTATTTTATAAGCATTATTCTCAAGTGGCACGCTTTCTATTGGAACTTGGCCCATGTTCATGTTAGGCAAGTACTTCCTGTGATTGTCTCTGCCCCCATCTTGGTCATTGTCTTTCCCTCCTACTTACTGTATTTTCTCAAGGATACAATTAATTTGAAATGTTCTGGTAAAAGATTTTATACTAACCGCACTTCATTATTTAGAAAATTACTATCCAGCACCCTATGTGAACTGATATCCTCTTATTTTCCATTTAAAAAAATACATGAATTTGTTGGCAGGTCATGGATATGGGTTTTGGATTTAGCTACAAGTTGGAGTGTCACCGAGTGGTTTATAGTGTTAACTATGCAAGTATGAGCATCATGTGCCACTCCCTGCTCTCTGCAATATGTGATTCTGTAAGGGACAAAAAATGTGAATCTTGTGTTTTGCATACTTTAGAGAACAGAAAGCTTATCATCTTTCATTGCTAGAAAACTTGTTAGCAGCACCATAAAGGCTCACTCACTGTCATCCAGCACAAGGCTGTGGGCTTTGAAATTCATTATGATTCTTGGTCTTTTTGTTGTTGTTATTGCCTTAGGGCACAGATACTTGGAGCCTGTTAAATCAGTTACCAGAAACAAAACCTGGATTGAGAAGACTTTTTAAAGCCTTGAGATTACATTTTAAGTTGTATGTCAAACTGAAATGGAAATGGTATGAGACAATGGTTCTCAAATAGGTTTAAATCTGCTCTAAATTTTCAGTTCTCTTATTTTCTCTCTTGAAATGTTTACTGTTAACATAATTTTGTATGACATCAGTAGTTAATTATATTTCAATAAAAGTCTCTGTATTTCATGAGGAATGACATCTGTATTTCTCCAGCACCATGTTTATTAAGGTCCTATCCCAGTAAAGGCTTCTTTTACCAATAGAAATCACGGATACAGAACTGCTGTATGCTTATATGCCTTTTTTTTCCTTTTTTTCCATAGGCAAGGGCACTTTTGCAAACTGCGTCAACTTTAGCACCTCATATGTATGAACCCCATTTTAATTTTGCAACAATATCTGATAAGGTATTCTCTTTATTAATTTATTATATTATACAATATTTCTTGTCTTTAGGTTTAAAAAAATTACAATAAACAAGAAAATTATAACCTTATGTTCCTGAAGAGAAGATTGATTTTTCAGTTTGGAAGAAATGAATTTTTTAAGTTCTTATTTATATACACAAACATCTTCACTTAATAAGCTTTAATTTTTCTTTGGATATTGACTAAACACCATTATAAATTGCTTTTTAAAGCATTGGTTTTTAAAGCATAAAGTCTTTTATACTTTAAAATTTAATATTTAATCATTGAAGAAATACTATAGTAATTCTTAGTTTGGGAGGAATTTGTAGAAGGCTTTTACAGCAAGGAATTCTTTTATATTATTTGTAAATCATATTGCCACCAAGTCCTGATATGATTGCTATAAAATTAGGAATATTAGAGATATTAATTATGGACAATATGGGGAATGCAGCTGTGTTGCCAATCAGTGAAATCCAAAAGCTAAAAGAAATTATGTACCATTTTTAATAAAATGAAAACCAACAAAAGGCATATCTTACCTATTACTTGGAAACTCTCCTTTAACGTGGAAGGTAAATCAGTCTTGAGAATGAGGAAATGGATAAAAATGTTTGTGATGTAAATAAGAGTCTTTATTGACCAAAGATGTAATATTTGTTTTTTTAATAATATAAATATGAAGCCATGCATACTCATTTCTGTTTTGAAAATAGAATAAGCTATCGTTGATGTGTTGAAATGTTTTGAGTGATTGATTAGTTTACCAGCCACTGTTCAAGGTGCTTTACATACAATTCTGAAATTCTCCCATCCCCTATGTGCAGTATCCTTACTTACTCATTTTCTCATGCAACTGATGTTTCACTTATTAAAGCCTCTGCTATGTATCAGGCCCTGTCATTGAAGTAAAGGATGTAGCAATGAGTAAATTTATCCTATGAAGCTTATGTTCTAATGCAGCCCAAGCCTCATGGAGGTTAAGAGCCTCCTACCCCCAGTTACATGAGGTGGCAGGTTTCAGATTCACACCCAGCTCCAGTGGTGCCCAGGTATTTCACTGCACTGTGCTGCTGCTTAATTAAGCCACAGAGAAGACTTGATTATTTGCTGTCAGGAATATCAGCGCATTATAATAATTCACATCTCAAGGTGTTTCTTTAAACAGAAGACCATATTTCTGTAAGAGAAAATAGTATATTAGAAATGTTATGATTTTTAAAAGGAAACAATTCCTTTTTAGTACATATATATGTTACCCCCAAAACTACCAGAGTTGAACTATCTAGATTTTTCATGTGCTTATATCCAAAAGTTGTCTTTTTAGAGGTGAATACATGTATCACGATAACATTGAGACAAATTCCAGTAGCATATTTTTGTGTTTTTCTTTGGGCTGAACTTTAACAGAGTTTATTGAAAATGAACTTTTTTCTTTTTTGTAAACTTTTAAAACCATACATCTTGCCAATATTATTGTTAGCACTATTTAAAACCTCTCAGAGGCATATTATTATGTCTTAAATATAATAATTTTACTTGAATTTCCTATTTAAAAGATAATATCCTAATGAAAATATGTATTTGTGGTACATTATAGTTTTTCCTTAGCTGTATAAAACTGGTTGTTTGGGCATACGAATGTCATTTTATATTTATAGTACTATCAATGACAGGGAAAGGAACAAGGGTTTCTGAATTCATAACTAGATAGCTGTAATAGAGCATAAATTATTTATATAATAGGTTATTTTATCTTTCTCAAATTCCTCAAAATGGAATTATAATCCAGGTGAGAGAGTTCTAAAATTTAAGTGGCATATGTGAGTAATTTGCTATTAAGGACCCTTTGAGTTTCTACAGCATGCAGACAGGATGTCTTTCCCCGCCCCCCCTTCCATATTTATTTTTTTTTTCTGGTCTCATACTGCTCTTCTTATGGCATTTTTTACAGATTGGAGATCTACAGAGAAGTTATATTGCTGCTCAGAAGTCTGAAGCAGCATTTCCTGATCATGTGGATACACAACATTTAATTAAACAATTAAAGCAGCATTTTGCTATGCTCTGATTGTTCTTGGCCCAAATATATTTTTATGAAGAGACATTACACATGGGAAAAGTACTATGTATGTATGTATGTATGTATCTGAATGTAATATAAATTATACAGGCCTAGTGAAGGCTGTATTTGAATAAGAGTCGCAGACTTTGACCAGAGTTTATACCAGAATGTATAATGAATACTTTATAATAATAATTTTGTAAGGTAATATTATAAATTATCAGATTTAAGCATTTCTAGGTATAATGCATTATATGGTAAATGTTTATATATTTTCCAAACATTTTGATGCATTTCCTCAAATTTTTATAAATATACATTTTTAAAGTCCTTAAGCATTAGCCATTATATGGCTTAAGTGGTCTGAAATCTGCCTTTAAAACTATACTTTTGTGGTTAATAATATGTGTATTTATCCTAAGTAGAGGCTTTATTTGGAGCTTAAAATTGTATTTCAAACTATTTTTTATCAGGTACTTTGTGATATATATTGTACATATATATTATGCTTTAAAATAAATCAGTATATAAAACACCGAAATTTTGTCATTTTCCATGAGTTTTCATTTTATTCATCTCAGATGAAACAAGTTTTTTAAAAGTTCAGATAATCTTATATAGAAAGTCAGTATTTAAAGTCTTATTTAAATGATGTGCCACTAATTTTGTTTTTTCCTAAAAGGCTGTTTATGGGATATCATATTAAGATAAGACTATCAGGATTAGAAATAAGAGTCACAATACTAGGAATTCCACCTGTATTCAATCCCAGGAAAGGCTATATCCCACTACCACAGTATTATGAAGTCCTAGGAAAGTACTGGAACTTTTCTCACCCTTATTTAGTGGAAGTCTCATTAAAGTGTTCACATGAGGAAATGTGTTAAATCACTTATATTTGCAGTATGTTCAGATTTGTGTAAATAGTACTCCTTAACTGACAGAAGCAATAATAAATAAATTGCATACAAGGACCTGCAGATGGATAAAAGACCAGAAAGGGCTTCAGAGAATGTGAGCAAAGTCCCTAGTAGAACACATAAAGGCAGGGGGGACCTGAGTGAGTCACACAGCTGGTTGGTGGCACAGTCACAACCAGAACCAACAACTTGTTTCTCTACTTCAGACTTGAAATTTTCTTGGATCTCAATGATATGTAACATGCTTATTTAGCTCTCTAAAAATTTCCTCAACCACTATCAAGTCATCTAATATGATATTCAATATTTAAATTCAAATTACATGCAAGTCAATTCTTATTTCATTTAAAATAAGAGCTAGTAACAATGGCTAACATTTATTGAGGATGTTGAATACCCTGGACATGATGCTAAGCACTTTATGTGAATTCATTAATTTCATTCCCTCTGTGGTCCTATGCAGTGCTGTTAGTATTCCCATTTTACTAATAGGAAACTGAGGCACAAACAAAAAATTATAAAACTAATAAATGTAAGAGCTGATGATCAAATGTAGGCAGCACGGCCTCCTTAGTATGAGCTGTGAAACATTGTGTTGAATCGAGTCTCAGTGTTTCTCCTATAAGTAGAACCACTATCATTTTAAATGAGCATTGTGTACTTTAGTAAAAGTGAATAATAAGGGAATAGTTACATAACAAAAATAAATGATTCCATATTCCTTAGATGATATGGAGAGATTTTTGTCTCGAATTTATGTTAATTCAGTGCGATCACTGATGCAACGAATGAGTCAGGATGGCTAAGGGCAGAGTGATGGCAGAATGACATAATTTCACTGCACCAGCAGCTGTGGGTGTTATAAAAGAAAATTACTTTTTGTGTAATTCTTGGCTTCTTTTTTAATATTTCTGTAGAAGGACTATTAGCGATTGCATTCCACCATGGCTAAAGATTTAGGTGTTCAATTCATAGATATTAATTGTTCAACCAGAATTCACGTCATTGAGTTTACTACCTGTTTTGCATCAGCTTTGCATTGCTATGATGAAAAACCCTAAAAAGAAAACTTAGTTTATTTTGACTTACAGTTTCAGTTCAATCCATGGACTGCATAACTATGGGTCTGAAGTGAGGCAGAACATTATAGCAAAATGGTGTAGTGGAGAAAAGCAGTTCAGCACATGGCAATCAGGAAGCAGAGAGAGCGCTCTGTTAACCAGGGACAAAATCTATACCTGAAAGGCACACCCCCAGTGACCTACCTCCTCTAGTCACAAGTTGCCACCCAATTAATCCATATCACATTAATGTATTGTTCGGTTATAGTACTCACAATCTAATCATTTCACCTTTGAACATTCTTTTGTTGTCTCACACATGAACTTTTGGAGACACCTCATGTCTAAACTATAACATTCTGCCCCTGGCCCCCCAAATCTTGTGTGTATCTCACAACGTAAAATTTAATCCATTTCCAAGAATCCCCTAGTTTAAACAGTTTAGTATTGCCCAAAAGTCCAAGTCCAAAATCTCATCTGAGACTCAAAGCACAGACTAGCTGTGAGAGTAAAGATCAAAAGCAAGCTACATACATCCAATGTTTAATGACACAGAATAAATATTTTCATTCCAAAAGAGAGAGGCATAGAATGAAGAGATGAGATCAAAGCAAGATCAAAATCCAGCTGGGCAAGCAAGTCCTATAGCTCAATAGCCAGCCTCTGGGGTATATGGCATTTTGAAGTCTTTCCAAAAGACTTGAGTAGCTCTGCCCCTCTGGTCTTACTGGTTGCAGCCTACATGGCCTCTCTCTTGGTTTGTCTCTGATTTTCTTCTGCAGTCTACATTACTGGAATCCTAACTCTGGGGTCTTGGTTCCAGCTTTGGCTTCACCTTTAGAGCTTCACTCATCATTCTTTCAAGGACAGCTTGTTGGGACTCTGATGTTGCTACACTTTGTCTGGCCTCACAGGTATTCCTTTGAAGTCTTGGTGGAAGCTTCCATGACCCCCTGACTCCAACATCTTGCATTCCTGATGAACCAGCACCATGTGGTCGACACCTAGATCTGCCACCATCTTGAGCAGTAGTCAAGCCTCCTGGGACCATGGCTGTAATAGCTGTGTGACTGGGTGGCTGAGTACAATGAAACAACATCCTAGGCACCCCTGTGCAAGCAGGGTGCCCCCTTGTCTCTTATCAAAGGAATTTTTGCTATTATACCCTTGAGACTGAGATGGGTGTGAGCTTGCTAATTCCTGAGGTGCCCTCAAGCCATCTTTCCTATTGTGTCTAGGTAAAGTACTTAGCATCTCTTTAGTGGCTGTACTCTCCTCAACAGCCACACCTTCCTTTGCCCCAGTTTTAGTTGCACTTTTCTGACCAAGCTAGAAGATTTTCATATTCTGCTCTGCTTTCTGCTGATATCACAGTGATCTTGGCTAAGAGCTGCCAGCATATCCATGCAATCTCCTGAATGCTGTGTTGCAGTAGTACAAGGAATAAATATTACATTCTTGTTTTGGTTGTTTTGGTTCTTTTGGTAGGACAACATCCTCAGGATGGCTTTACTAATGACCACACCATCGCCATGGCCTATGACCTACAGTTTCAGCACTCATCATCTGCAGCACTTTTTCCTTTCAGGCCTCGCTCCAGGCACACTGCCTCCTTGCTCTGCCTTAAGCAATCCAAGCAAGCTCCTCCAGGACCTTTGCAGGAACGTTCTCCCTGATGGAAATGCTCTTACTACACATCTTCTCTTCTCCAGGTTTCTGTTTCAGTGCTTTCAGTGGACTTCACTCACCACCCTGCTCTATCCAAAACAGCACCGTGCCTCACGTCAGTAACTATTCCCTCACATGCTTTCTTCTTTTTCTTTATAAAGTTCACATGCCTCAGCTATTTTATTGTAATACAACAAAACTGACGGATACAAAGATGTATAATAAACCTCAAAGAAATTATTAAAATAACAAAAGAAAGAGCTGTACTAATAAGGGAAACAATATAAACTTATATAATATTTGATTAAATGTTGGTAGAAAAGAGGAGAAAGGTCAAAGAAGCAATAACACAAATTGAAAACAGAATAATGATGAATTTAAACCTAACTATATCAATAATTATATTAAATGTAAATAATGTAAATTAAGTGCAATCATCTCTGATGGGGAGCAAAGTTGAAGTTGACCAGTTATACTGTGTGTATGAATATGTATTTATTGTGTGTGTATGAATATGTAAAGATCAACTGCACTGTTATGTATAATATACCCCCCAAAAAAAGAAAAAAAGAAAAAGAATAAGAATTAACTATGCTGAACCCACACACACAAAAGGTAGAGATTTTCAGATTGAATAGAAAAGCCAGACCTAAATACATGCTACATACTAGAAAAAAATGCATGTTAAATATAAAAACATGAATATGTTAAAAGTATTAGAAAAGATATATTAAATGAAAGGAAATCTGGAATGATGTATTAATATCAGGCCAAACAGATGTCAGAACAAAGTTATCAGGGATGAAAGAACATTTGATGATAAAAGGGTTCAATTTATCCAAAGGACATGAAAAGTGTAAATGTTAGTGCACCTAATAATGAGCTACAAAATATTTGAAGCAAAACAAAACAAAAACAAATCAAAACAAAAAACAAAGAGAAATAGATGAATCCACCAACATGGCAGGAAATTTAAAATGGCCTCTTCCAGTAAGTGATAGAGTAGGCAGAAAACCAGTAAGGGTACAGAGGCTTAACTAACACTAGCAACAAAGTTGATTTGATTGAAGTACAAATATATTTAGAAAATTCTATCAAGAACTATAAAGAATACTACATCCAACAACAATTTTCAAGTGTGTATGGCGCATTTACCAAATTAGACCACATTTTGGGTGATAAGGCCTGCCTCAACAAATTTGAAGCTACTTAAGTCATACAAAATATGCTCCATGACTACAATAGAATCAAATTAGAAATCATTAATAGAAAAATATCTTTAAAATCCCCAAATGCTTGGAAATCAAACAACACTTCTAAAGAATGCATGGATTAATAAATAAATAAAGAGGGGAATTAGAAACTATTTTGCAAAGAATAAAAATGAAAACATGGTCTGTTAACATTTGTGGTAATTCACTAGAGCAATACCTAGATGGAAATCCATAGCTTAGGTTCCTGTATCAGAAAACTAGAAAGTCTGAAATTAATGACCTAGCTTCTACCTTAAGAAAAAAAGAAAAAGAAAACCAAGTTAAATTCAAAGTAAGCATGATAAAGGGAATAATATTCTAATCTTTATTAGAATTCTAATAAAGGGAATAATAAAGATTCTAATCTTTATTAGAATTCTAATAAAGGGAATAATAAAGATTCTAATACAAATTAATAAAATAGAAAAGCAATGGAGCATATCAATGAAACAAAAAGCTGGTTCTTTGAAGAGATCAATAAAATTGATAAACCTCTAGTCAAAAAGATAAGGAAAAAGGTGAACACACAAATTGCCAAAATCTAGAATGAGAGGTAATATTCATCTAGAGTTTACAAATATCAAAAGTCTAATAAAGGAATATCATGAA